TCAAACGTTTCGTCGGCATCATTGTCGGCATCATCCATGAGTCTTGCCATTCGCCGCACCAAGCTATGAACTCGTCAAAGAGACAAGTGAAGCCAATCCCTCGATAAACGTTATGCCGAAAACGGTTACACTATCACTCCTCTTTCTGTCCTGGCCTATCAATCTACTCTGGGATAAGATGGTAAAGAGTAGATAAATAGACAATGACAGAAAGAGGAGTGATCGTCTAACCGTTTTCGGCAGAACTTTGTGGAGGCATTGGCTTCACTTGTCTCTTTGACGAGTTCGTAGCTTGGTGCGGCGAATGGCAAAACTCACTAACGAGGCCGGCGAAACGTCTGAGAATGTATCAAGTCCACGGTCGGATGCTAGGAATCAAGACAACTACTACGGCAGACGACTTCGCGATGCCGGCGAAACGTTTGAGAATGTATCAAGTCCACTGTCAGATGCTGGGAATCATGACAACTACTATAGCAGACGACGTCCACTGTCAGATGCTGGGAATCATGACAACTATTCGGCATGCCGGCGAAACGTTTGAGAATGTACCAAGTCCACTGTCTGATGCTGGGAATTATGACAACTACTATGGTAGTCGACGAAACGTTTGAGAATGTACCAAGTCCACTGTCTGATGCTGGGAATCATGACAACTACTATGGCAGACGAATGACGAGTTCGTAGCTTGGTGCGGCGAATGGCAAAACTCACTGATGATGCCGACTACGATGCCGGCGAACACTTTGAGAATGTACCAAGTCCACTGTCTGATGCTGGGAATCATGACAACTACTATGGCAGACGACTTCGGAATAGGTGCGTTCTACTAAATCACCGTGGCAACAAGACCAAGTTGTGACAACGAGGTCAACCCATTTCTCTAACCGAGTTTGGTTCCATAAACGCTTGCTACTTCGAGCAAATTGATGGTCACAGACTACTTCTCAGACCGGATTTCGCCAAAGGTCATGAGCAAGGGCCCGGTTAAGGGTTTGAAGAACATAACTTGCATAGGAATCCGAGTTTTTACAGTGATGAAGCTGAATTTCCCAAAGTCAAGTCT